TTCAACATGCTGCGCTCTCCCGCGATACATGGCTTCACTTTTACTTCATAGATCAGCCTCTCAGGGCCACTTCGTGACCCCTTCCCTACCATATACTGCATGGTCTCATCAGCTTTCTAGAACCTTACAGTACACTTCCAAGATCCCAAAACATTTGCAATCCTACAAGTCTGTCTAACCAGCACCACAAAGATATGCAAAGATACAAACTTCTGCTGTCAACTCAGATGTAACTGGAACCCTCTGAAAGCTGCCTACCATGGCTACCTTGGCTATATTGCCTCGTAGCTAAACCTAGGGAAGCATATGACAAAGCAAGTCTGTTGGAGCAAGATGTCATGGAGGTTCTGTCTTTTCATGTACTCACTTTAAGACACTTGCTTCTCAAATAAATTTGAATTTCTACCCCCTAGAACTTTTAATGGGTAGTGTCTTGCCCTCTAGCAAACATTCATATAAATACAACATGTCAGGTTTCTCATTCATGACACTAGTCCCTAAAAATTACCATTCTGTTGCCTGTAGCTGCAGCGTCAACCCTCTCCATAAGCACACAGCTCCTTTCCTTAGCACACTGAACATTTTTCACATCCTTCTAGTCTATTTTCTGGCCTCTCACTCTAACTCTAGCCAAAAGCAGTTAGCAATAACCACACAGAGCCTGAACACTAAGCTGAGATTTTGTTTGTTTAATAATATTTTACTGAGATTGACATAATCACATCATTTCCCCCTTCCCTGTCCTCCCTCCAAGCCTTCTCATGTACTATCCCCACATACATATTTATATTTTGTTTGTGTGAGTGTGTGTGTGTAAGATGAGCACAAGTGTTGGCACTGACATGCCACATCACTTGTGCGGAGGTCAGAAAACAACTCACAGGAGTGGGTTCTCTCCTTTCACCATGGGATCTGGGGATTGGATTCAGGTCACCATGGCTTGCATGAGAAGTAACTTTACCCCTCTGAGCCATCTCATCACCCCAAGAGTTAGTTATTTGAAAAAGATAAACAAGATGGGAAAACCCATGGCCAAACTAATCAAAAGACTGAGAAAAGCCAAATTAATAAAATCAAGGATTGAAAAGAAAATATCATTATACAACAGATACTAAGAAAATTCAGACTATCATTATAAAACATATAAAATCTAAAAGAAACAAATGAATTTCAAGACAGACATAACCTGCCAAAACTAAACTAAAATGAGGTAAACAACTTTAAGATGTATTTTTTTATATGTATGGGTGTTCTAACTGCATATGTGTCTGACATCTGGGGCCCTTGGATGCCATAATGGGGCATCAGATTCCCGAAAACTGGAATTACAAATAGTTGGGAACGGGGGCTGGAGAGCTGGCTCAGAGGTTAAGAGCACTGGATGCTCTCCCAGAGGTCCTGAGTTCAATTCCTGGCAACCACATGGTGGCTCACAACCATCTGTAATGAAATCTGGTGCCCTCTTCTGTAATGAAATCTGGTGCCCTCTTCTGGTGTGTAGGCATATATACAAGCAGAACAGTGTATACATAATAAATAAATAAAGCTTTAAAAAAAAAAAAAAACCAAATAGTTGGGAACCACCATGTGGGTACTGGGAATTGAACCAGGGTCCTTTGAAGATCATCTAGTGCTCTTAATCTGACTAACTCATCTGTTTGGCCCCAAGATAAACAATTTAAAGAGATCTATAGCAAGCAGTGAGTTTGAAGCAGAGGAAAACAAAATCTCCCAGTTAAAACAAGTCCAGGCCCATAAGAATTCACTGTTGGATCTACCAGACCTTTATAGATGAGCTAACACCTGTGCTTTTCTAACTACTTCATAAAACAGGAAAAGGAGGACAGTAATCAAACCCTTGTTACAATGTCAGTATTACTCTGCTGCCCAAGTCAAATAAAAACACAACAATAAAAAAAGAATTATGGACCAATCTTCCTAATGAACATTATATGTAAACATTCTCAATAAAGATGCTTATAAACTGAATTCAAAACCACAAAGAGATTATTCATCATGACGAAGCTGACTTCACTCCAGAGATACAGGGATGGTTCAACATATACAACCAATAACTATAATACACTATATAAATGAACCTGAGAGAAATCACACACAAAAAGATCATCTCAATAGATATGTTTGAGGCTTCTGACAAATTCCACCATCCTTTCATGACAAAAGTCCTGAAGATACTAGGAACAGAAGGAGCATATCTCAACATAGCAAGGGCTACATACAGTGGCCCTTGAGCCATCAATCATACTAAGTGGGGAAAAATAAAAAGTATTTCCACAAGATCAAGAACAAGATAAGAGTGTCTGTCCACTTTTACCAACTATTTTACAATGGAGTATTAGCTAGAATAATAAGACAAAAGGATACAAATAGAAAAGTCAATGTATCATTATTTACAACAATTACTCTACACATAAAAGACCCTAAAGACATCATAAGAAAATTCTTAGATCTGATGAACACTTTCAGCAACGTGACAGGATACAAAATTAACATACAAAAATCAATATTAAAAATCAGTAGCCTTCCAAAGAGAAACGAGCATGCTGAGAATAAAATCAGGAAAACAATTCCATTCATAACTGCCTCAAAAAAAAAAACCTTGTTGAAAACTGAACCAAAAAATGACTGACCTCTACAAAGAAAATTTGAAAGACTGAAGAGATTAAATATAAAATGAAAATGGCTGTACTACCAAAAGCAATCTGCAGGTTCAATCCAATTTCCATCAAAATTCTAGTGTCATTTGTCACAGAAATAGTTAAAACAATCTCAAATTTCTATGGAAGTACTACAGACCCTAGTGAGTCAAAGCAGTCCTTACCAAAAAGGCTAAGTCTGGAGGAACCTGATTTCAATGTATCCAATAAAGTCACAGTAACAGAATCTCAATGTACCAATGCAATTCAAATAAAATACAATCACCTCATTTTTTACAAAGGGACCAAAAATAGACACTGGAGAAGTCTGCCCCTTCACTAAGTAGTGCAGGGACAATTGGTATCTTCACATACAAGAATGAAACTACATCTTTATCTTTCAACCTCAGCAGATAGATATCATCTCAAAATGGATCCATGACCTCAAATTAGTACCCGAAGCTCTAAAACTGCTAGATCAAAAATTAGGAAAGACACTTCAAGATATAGTTCTCACAGAACGTTGTTGCTCGGGAAACAAAGCCAACAATCAACAAACGGGACCTCATATCAAAAAACGTCTGTACAACCACGCAGGCAGTGACTTGAATGCCGACAGCCCACACAAGAGGGGAAGATCTGTGCTTGCTACACATCAGAGAGAAAATTAGTATCTGGGATATACAAGTACCTCCAAAAACAGAACAACAGGAAATCAAACACGCCAGTCAGTAAGCGAGCCAATTAAATGAATGACAGTTGAAATAGAACTGATCAAAGAATGTATGAAAAATTCAGCCATCAGAGATATGCAAACTAAAACACACTGAGGTTCCATCTCACCCCGATCAGAACAGCAGTCATCAAGGAAACAAGTAATGAATGAGGCTGGAGAGATTGCTCAGTGGTCAGGACCTCTTGTTACTCTTCCAGAGGACCTGGGCTCAATTCCCAGCACCCCATATGGTCGCTCACAACCATCTGTAATTCTAATTCCAGGGAATCTGGTGCTGATTTCTGTCCTCCAGGGATACCAGGCATACATGTGCACAGACATACATACAAGCACCCATACACATACAAGTAATAAAAAGATTACAAGATAGTTTAAAAAACAAAAAACAACCTCAGAGGAGGATGTGAATGAAAGGACATCCTAAAATTGTTGCTGGAAATGTATATTAGCCCAGGCACAATGGGAATCAGTTTGGAGGTTTCTCAGAAAATGTAAAACAAGAATACCACACGATCCAGATACACCATTCCTGAGTGTTTGCCCAAAGAAATCTCAGTCAGTGTATCAGTCAGACATGCTTACACATCAATGTTATCAAGACACCATTCACAACAGCTAAGTTACAGAACCAACAGAAATGTCCAACAACAAGGGAATGGAGATCTATACGTGTGTGTGTGTGTGTGTGTGTGTATGTGTGTGTGTGTGTGTGTGTGTGTGTGTGTGTGTGTAATGAATATTGTTTTCAGACACAAAGAAAAAAGAAGTTATGTGATCTTCAGGAAAATAGATTCAACTGGAAATAATCATCTTAAGAAATTAACTCAGTCTCAGACATGTGCATTTTCTCTCATTTTTAGTTCCTACATTTCACACACATAAAGTTTATGTGTGTGCATATATATGTGTATATAATTGTACATACATGATTTATATGTGATACACACAAACACAAACACACACACACACACACACACACACACACACACACACACACACACACACACGATATTAAAGCAGAGACCAAACTGTCCAGGATAGTAAAGGAGACTGGGGATGGGAAGTAAGAAAGGGGAAGGTAGAGGGATACGGTAGGGGAGAAATGTGCTCTCCACAGACTACATACATACATTAAAAGGAATACAGCACCATGTCCAATGATGTAGGAGACCCGCTCCCACTTTTTTCCCCCAGGGTACTCTTGAGGAGTGAGGGATAAGATATCAGACAGAAGGATAGAAGGGAGAGAGAGACAGATAGAAACACAGGATAGCCTCAGGAGGGCCTGGATCCTTATCCACCAGCTCCTTCTGTCCTTTAAAGGGCTATTTATAGGAATGCCAAGGGGTGGAGCAAAAGAGCTCCCCCTAGCACAGCCAAGTGCAGACCCTTCCAAACACTTGGTAACCAAGGTCAATCCATCCTCTTATGCAGTCCTGCTGTGTAAAGCAAGCTCAGATCTCACTAGGAAACCTCTGTGGGCTTCCACACAATGAATACAATAAATTTTTAAAATAAGATTTTTAAGAAATTTAATCTATTACTAAGCTGTTTTTAATAATAATGTTAGCCATTTTAATATATGTAACAGAAAAAACAATGCTTACCACAATGCTTTGAATGTCCCAAAATTTCATCAGCTTTCATAGTCTCACACAATTCCAAGTACTGAACACACTGTTGAACTGCTGTAGTTATCTGAATAAAAATAATAATAACAACTGATTGGTTCCAGAAATACATAGCCACTGGGTCCAAAAATTATAAAATTAATCAAGACTATTAAAAAGCCTAATGATATGTATGTATGAAATACTATATGAGATCCTATCACTGAGCATGCTAACTTTAAAAATTAATTTAAGATAATATGGGTTAAGAAACCTACTCCAATAATTGTTAAAATTTAAACTTTAGGTGCTGGATAGATGGGTCAGTGGTTAATAGCACTTGTTGTTCTTACAGAGGACCAGGTTCAATTCCCAGAACCCACATGGTGAATCACAACCATCTGTAACTCCAGTTCCAGACAATCTAAAACCTTCTGGACTCTGCAGGCAGCAGGCACACACATGGGCACTGACATACATGCAGGAAAGCATAATTAATTTTTTAATAATAAAATATAGTTATAGGAATAGTATATCCTTATTTTAAATCTGTGTATACCTTACAGAACCAGTCTGTGCCCAGTAATATAAAAAAATCTCTTCTCAGCTCCCTACCTTGGAAGCTTTTCTTCTCATCACCCATCAATAGACCAATTGGACCTAGAATTTGTTCCCATCTCAAATATTAGAATTGCAGAAAACTAACTTTAAAAATTCAAATTTCAAAGAACAAAGTCACAATAAAAAAAAAAAAAAACCCTGTTGTCCCTAAAGGTCTCAATTATCATGTCTCCATTCTCCACAGCAGAGATTTCCAACCCCCTTCATCACAGACATATTTCTTTTTAAATTTTATTTATCTATATTATTTATGTATACGTGCCTGTGTGAGTTTCTGTGCACCATATGCATGCAGGTGCCCTGAGATGTCAGAAGAGGGTATTGAATCGCCTAAAATGGAGTTACAGGTGGTTGTGAGCTGCCCTATGGGTACTGGGAAGCAATCGTGGGTCCTCTGCAAGAGCAACAAATGCCCTTAATGGCTGAGCCATCTCTCCTGCCCCACAGACATATTACTTACAGATGACTTTTAATTCTAATTTCTGAACAAAATAGATGCTCTTGGTAAGATAAGGACTGGTGAGACTTGAGTTAGGTGATATAAAACTGTTGGAGATCAGTCTCAAGTGAGGGTGTGGGGAGCTAGAGTGTAATAAAGGAATGAGAACTGAAAATGCAAAGGTATCTAGTGTATAGAAATGAATAACAGAAAGCAACAGCTGGTATAAGGTCCGAGACTGTACTTCTTTTCCGGTGAGCAGGCCATGTTCATGTAGAGGTTCCTTTTCTGTTATTGCTGTTTTGTTTGGTTAATTTTACTAAAAATGGTGAGAAGGCTTTCCATATACCTAAACTGTTTTTGCAAATACTGCTGTTCATATTGCACATCTCTTTTCAATCTACTAATCTGAGATCCTGGACCAAACCGAGTAAGACCCAGCCCACTGTGGGTAGTGCTACCCCTCGGCTAGTGGTCCTGGGTTCTATAAGAAAGCAGTGGGAATGGAAGACACCAAGACACCAAGGCCTTCTAGACACAACAGGACTCATGCACATAAGGCTTCACATAGACTATGGCAATGCACTTGGCCTCCAGAGGTCTAAGGCGGATGGAGTCGGAGCACTAAGAAGGAAAGTGGACAGAAGCCAATCCCTAACCCAGAAGCTATCTACAATTGATAACCATTCACAAAGGGAAAATTAGTTTTCTCCAATACAGTCTCACTGAGTATACAAACAGCACTTAGAGGCAGGCCCCATGTCCAGCAGCAGTTGGCCAACACAAAACTAACTCTTGAGGTTTCGGTTGTGAGTCTAGTCTTTAAAGGCTAAACCATCTCTCCAAAATGAACCTCAAAAATGGTGTTTGGGGAGGGTTGTTGTTTGGTTTTGTTTTTAAGTTTACAGTTGTTTTGAATGCATAGTATGATTTTCGGTTTTGTGTTTTTATGGCATTTTTATGTGTGCAAATGTCTGTGTCTCTGCATCTGTGTTTCTTGTGCTTTTTCTTTGGCACTTTTCCTTTCTGGTCACCTGTTTGCTTTGACCTATTCAGGTTTGTTCTTATTTTATCTTCATTCCTTTCTTTTCCCGTCTAGATACTTGTTTGTTTTCTAATGAGAGAGAGCGAGAAAGGGTATGGACGTGGTTTGGATGGGTAGGGAGGAGGGGAGGAGCTATGGGGAGTTGGAGGAGGAAAACCCTAATCAGAATATATTGAATGAAAACAATCTGTTTTCAATAAAAAAAAATTATTTAATATAGTAACAGTTGCTACTTTCAGGAACTTTTGATTGGAAAAAAAATAGTTTTTCCTAATAGACTCAACATCTAAAGAACAGAAGAATATAGTTTCTTCAACTGAAAACATAAAGCATTACCTCCAAAACAATGTTTCTCACTGTTCACTTATGCTTCAACTATCCAGAAACTTATATATCCTTGCAGCCAAGTTTTCACTTCATTACCCATTTCAATGTCTTCTATTATTTCTATTTCTTCCTCTATCTTCTAACTATAACTATTCTTTGCTGTTAAAAAGAGTAATAATCACAGGAGAAAAAAAAAAAAACGATTTCATGACAGAAAAAAAAAAAAATCAAAGAAGCAGAAATCAGATAGACAGGGTGAATACAGACACCAAAGAATCAAGTTGGCATCTCCCTAGTTTTCAAACAGACATACAAAACTTGGTTCTCAAAATTCCCAACTATATTTCATACATGGTAATTATGCAAGTAAACATACAACCAGACTATTCATTTCATTGTTATTGCTCAGACAAGATGGGGAGAGTTAAACATAGAAGGGCAGAGAAGGTCAAGAGAGAATTTAACCTAGCTTGCAGGTTATTTTTGTTTATAACTCCAGGAGCTGGGAATCGACCTCTGGTCCTGTAAAAGAGCAGCAAAAGCTCTTAAACATGGCACCATCTCTCCAGCCTCTTAAATTACCCTTTGTTGTCCTTGAAACTTAGGTAGCTTTATAGAAAAGAAATGGAGTTTTAGGCAGAACCTTAAGATAACTTGAGCCATTACATATATAAAAGTATTTGACCAAGTTAAGAAAATATTAAAATGATTTATAATAAAGAAATTTTACATGCAAGCAAAAATTGGTTGTTGGAATTAGTTTTCAAATAAGAAACAGATAGATTTTAAGGGCCAATCTCTAAGAAGCACCTTAAATACTTCTGGGGCCTCTGTGATAGCAAGGGTGAATTTCTATTTGGATATAAACACTGAAGAATAATCTTGGGGTTTTTCTCTCTTGCTTTGTTAAAACCAGGTAAGTCTATGTATTTATGGCAACAAATCTTCCTTTATACAGTAATTACAGAGAAACAATATGTAGAAGAATCTATTTCAATTGTTCTACACATTTTCTAGGACCATTGACCTCTACAAATAAAGTCCCCTGCCATTAACCAATGTTTCTCTCTCCTTCCCCAGCTAGTTTCTCTTGACTGCCAAACACAAAACCAAGTTTTCCCTTGTTCACATTTTGCTCCATTACTCAAATCCAAAAATTGACAATTCCAGGAATCCTGCCTTCAAATAGCTTCTAGACTCAAGGTTCTGCCTCAATACAGAAACCATATTTATTACCTTCTTAAATGCTTTTTTAAATTACATGTTTTCATGTTTGTCAATTATTATCTGTTTTACCATTTCTTTCAGTATCCTTATACATTGTTCTATAATAGCAATGAACATGGGTATTTTGGGTGAGAAATGAATAGTATCGAGCTGTATTTAGTATAACTCAAACCAAATTTTGCAAACACAAAAGCATTTCTCACTGAGTCTTTTTCATGCCACTTTTCACACAGTGGCTCAGTATATTTTATAGAAGTAATTCCGTTATTAATAGCTGACCTGAGTCAAATTACATGGTAATCCTTAAAAATATGGCTTCTCTCCAACCAGTCTATTATTTATAGCAGCCAATTTGCCACATACTTGCCTATTTCCTGTTTCCCTTAGTGTCCTTTAAGACTCAACTTTTATCTCTTTACATTTCATATAATCAGAGTTTAAGGTCATATTAAAAGGGATTGCTTCATTACCCAAGATTAATCACTGCCACGCAACTTTGCATATTTAAGGCACTACATCACATATCTTTTTGTGACATTATTTCTTAGCATAAAAACAGACGTGTAGCTTACCAGAGATTTATATTTCTTTTCAAGTAGTCTTAGGACTGCAGTTCTGCTGTAATATGCATGCTAAAATTAAAGAGAAAGGCATTTAATGTTAAAGGTATGTCATTTAAAATCCATTTCCTCCATCGTTTAGTGTCATAAACCATACCATAACTTAGGTTTAAAATATCATAATCAATGTCAAGCAGGTTTTACCTATGTGTAATGAACTACAAGCATAGTAATCACAAGAATGCAAATTGCATAAAAAATAGAGTAGATCATTTCGTGACAGATTAGAGATGAGGGCAACAATTCATTACTTATGTCCAATTTCTATGCTAAACTAGTTTTTAAAAAAATACCTCCAAAGTAGTATGCCGAGCTATGAGTGTATGATCCAAGGTGTAGGGGGAGGATATGTAAATGAGAGAGGGAAACAAGACCACTAATTCTGTGTGACTACATGCACAGAAATTTGCAAAGGTGAGATACTCCAACAAGACATTTTTGTCACTTTATAACAATATTGTTTTTAAATAAATGGCTATGCCCAAAATGTCTTTATTTCCTTAGGACCAATATTAGATGGAATTAAAACACATACATAAATAACATTGTAGGAAGCCAGGGAAAATTATAAGTATTTTAGCTAGAATTATAAGCATTTAGCTAAACAGCTTTAATGTTTAAATCTGCTCCTTCATTTTATTTAAAAACAATAAAATAATTAAAACATCACTAAAAACATCAGGATTCTGGTGATCGAATTTTTAATTCATTAGACAGTGCTTTTATTCAAAGTTCACCAAAATCCTGTGTGATTTAGCACTTTGGCTTAAAATGTTTTTAAAAACCATTAATCCCTTTCTCAGTAATTACTAAAGGAAATATGCTGGTGTATAAATGAAACTACTTTTAGTATTATCCTGTTCTGCCAAGCCTGGTGATTGACACCTAAAATCCCTAGCACTGGGAGATGGAGGCATGAGAATCAGGAGTTCAAGTCCATTTCAACTACATAGTGAGTTCAAGACCAGCATGGTTTATAAACAGAAAGTTCTGAAAAAGAAACCTTACTGCATCTTTATCAGAAGGGTCAGCAAACTATGGCCCTAAAACCAAAGCTACCCACCATGCATTTGTATAAGTAATGTCTTACTGAAACACCCTGCAGCCGCTACCATTTAGACTGAAAAGCTGCAAAAAATTGTCCAGTGCACAAAGCTAGAAATACTTACTGCCTGGCTCTTTACATAAAATGTCTGCCAACCCTTCCCTTAGACACAAAGGGTACAGGGAAATGAGATACATTTTTGTTGCTTTAATAAGCATAAATAAAATAATCAATTTAATAATTTTCTAGTGTTTTAGTTTTTTGTGATCTGCCTCATTCACTTATTGAAAATCAAAATGTTAAGTGAAAAAGCTTTACAGTTATCAGAATATAATTTAATTTTTGTTTAAAACAAAAGACTTAACCATATTAATATATATTATGTAAATAATAATCTATATAAAGCTAGGACTTAATGGTTATCCCTGTATTGTATAGGGTTAATGTGCTTTTACATTTTTTTGCATATTGTCTTCAATAAAGCTAGTTTCATCTTTGAGAAAATTAAGAAAAACTATCAGATGGAGGCTACAAAAGATTCAGGTTAATTAATTAAATTGATTTAATTAATAACAATAAATTTAAATACTACTACATAGATCATATAAGGGTTAGCACTACAGAGTTGGGCTCTAATAAACTAGGCATATACCACAGACTTTCAACATCAAAAGACAAAGTCAACTAGTCAAACCGCTCTGCTGAGTACTAAGTGAGAGGGTCATTGCTTGCACGACAAGTCCCCGTCCCCTCTCTCTACCTAGAGCTGGACAGACAGGATAAGAAAGACAAAGCCATAAGCACCGAGGGCAGTGTTGGTGCTGCTGTAAGAGAGGAACTCTGTCATTCCACGTTAGCTGACAGGTGACAGTAAAAACGGCTTTAACACGGCTTTCAATCTGGGCCTGTCATAAGCCTCTCTGGAAACGGCCAGATCCAGGCATTAAACATCTCCCCAAATGCAGGTTCAGGAAGCAGCAAACAAAACCGCTTCTAGGCATTAGCCTCAAAACTAGTGGTTCTCAATCTGTGGGTTGTGACCCCTTTGGGAATCCCATGACAGATACCCTGTGCATCAGATATTTACATTATCATTCATAACATTAGAAAAACTACAGTAGCAATGAAATAATTTTATGGTTGGGGGTCCCCACAATATAAGGAACTGTATTAAAGTGTCATAGCATTAGGAAGTGTGTTTGTTGAAAACCAATGCTCTAAACCCAAGAAAAATGAGCCCTGAATCCTTATGTCCTACCACATCTATTTATAATTTTTGTAAGTTTAGATTCATGAAAATCAAGATCTTTGATAAATAATTCATCTTAAATAGACTCAAATGGATCACCACTTAAAACCTCTCCTGCCTTTCCCTGGGCAAAATAGTTTTCCCACGCCTTAGATCTGACATCCCCAAACAGGGCACTGGCCACCTACCACAATATCCATCTGTGTAGAGACTAAAGGCAGTCACATATGCAGAAAATCAATTATAACTCAGCACACCAAGCACATAAAACTGGCTAGTCACTAAAATGATAGAGAAAAAAACAAGTTTGCCTTACCATCCATTTTTTGAACCACACAGCTTTAGTATCAACTAATGCAAAAAAATAGATGGGATCCAAAATCTTCTGTGAGACAAGATGGCTTTGATCATGTTTGACTGATAGCAGGGACAAAGTACTCTCCACAATTTCCTCCATATACCTTAGAGTTTGGGAAAGAAGTAATTTCAAAAAATAAACAACGGTTAGTGTATGTGATGTTCTTATCCTTCTGGAATAACAATGTGGAATGTAATCTTTATAATTTCTATAAATTCTATAATTCTGTACAATTATATAATTGTATTTTCTATAAAGGGAACAGAGTTTTTCTGTTCTGTTGCACGAATCCTAAATGGTCTTATAATAAAAACCCGGAGCCAGATATTGGGGTAAATGCTGAAAGATGAGAGGAAACAAGCCACAGCCACTTCTCACCTCACCAACTCCTCAGCCAATCCTGTCTCCACAAATCCTCAGACTGAATGTCCCTGAGTCCTCAGCTGAAAGAGCTCCTGTTCCTGTTTCCTAATGCCTTATATGCCTTTCTCCGCCCAGCCACTTCACTTATCTAAACCTTCCTAGTGCTGGCATTAAAGGCGTGTGTGCTTCCCAAATACTGGTAACAAAGGCATGAGATATCAAGTGCTGGGATTAAAGGTGTGAGCCACCACTGCCTGGAATGGCTACCCACTATAGCCTGGCTCTGTCTCTCTTAGACTGGATTAATCTAGTGTAGTCTACGATGGCCTTGAATGCACAGAGATCTAGATGGATCTCTCTGCCTCTGCCTCCGAGTGCTAGGATTAAAGGTGTGTGCCACCACTGCCTGACCTCTGTGGCTAGCTCTGTCCTCTGATCTTTAGGCAAGCTTTATTAGAGTACAACAAAATATCGCCACACTGTTCTAAAAACTTAAGTTCCTTCTGCTTCAGCACTCAAGTCTCCAGATATAACGCTCAGTTTTAGACTCGCAGATGCTCTTACAATTGTTTCAGAATTTTTTAAAAAAATTGTCCAAAGTAGCAAACATCCCTAAGAACCCAAGACTCAACATCCTTCTTTCACAATGTTGTAGGTGACATAAAAACAATACTTGAGTAGGACCATGTGCACAGCTAAGTATGCCTACATCAAAGAAAAACTGTATTAATACCTTCTGTCCTGGTGTACTTATCTGCTGCTGTGATAAACAAACACCATGATCAAAAGCAACTTCAAGAGGAAAAGGTTCGCTTTTGCTTACAAGTTACATTCCATCAAGGGAAGCCAAGACAGGAAGTTGAGGCAGGACCTTTGGGCAGAAACCATGGAGGCCCTGCTTACGGCTTCTCTCCTCAAGCCTGCTTCCTCGGCTCACTAAACACTTTTCTCACACAGCCCAGGCCCACGTGCCTACTGAAGGTACCTCCTGCATCCATCTGCGGTTAAGAAAATACCCCATAGGCCAGTGTGATGAGGGCAGTTCCTCAGCTGAGGGCTTCCTTTCCTGGGTGGTTCTATTTTGTATCAAGCTGGCAAAACCTAAGTGGCACACTGAACCACGTAAGTCACCAAAGACCACTGTTCCCTTCTGTTCTCCAAAGACCTGAAGGGCATAGCCCATGCCTTACATTGCCTGACTCGAGGGACTTACTTCTCTGGGTGACGAATCCAAAAAGATGGAACCTCTTTCTGATATTCATTCAGAAGGCGAACCTGTAAGCAGTGCACAAAATCTCTCAAGATATTATAATTCTGAAATAATAGATCTACTTTACATAATGTAATTATAGTAAACGGATACCTTTTTCAGTAAACGGGTCACATTCGGACTAGTTATGTCTACTCCAGTTGAAAGAGTGGGAATGTGATTTTCTCTAGAAAGAAAGTATAACTCCAGATATTTAGCTGAAAACAAAGATGAAAATATATAGCCATTATATTATACAATGCTTCTAGAAAAAGAGTCATTGCTTATGAATTTTTCTTAAGTATATATAAGAGAAAAATATTTGAGGTGCACACCACACCTCAAATAAAATAAAATATTTAGTAAACATACCTAAGCTTGTATAAATTTCCTTGGTCATGTGTAACGGCGAGAGTGTAAAAGTCTGTGCATAGAACTTTAGAATCCGGTCCTACAGAAATGAGAGAGAACATCCTGATTGAAGCTTCTTACAACCGCACAGATGGAACACTTTACACGTTTAAACAGAAAATAAACTCGAAAGACACTCTCCAAAACCAGATGAAGCACGTGTCTGTTTTAAAAGGCATATTCTTGTTCAGCCAAAAGGAAAACTAACCACAGCTAAGAGTAAAACGGATGACAAAAATGTACTGCTGTGCAATCTTGTAAGGGCAGGCAACGGGAGCAGAAAGCGGAAGGAAGGAGGGGTCCGTGGGGCTGGGAGACGAGGCTGGAGGCTTGCATGGAGGTTCTAGTCTTGATTTAATGACGCCATCCAGCAGTGGGCACACAGGCAACACTACATCGCAAGACCACACGTTTTCAAGTCCAGGAATTATTTCTTTATATTTAACATTAGTGAACGTTTAGGAGTCTGTCTAGGAACAGCGCCTATTCACTAGAAAAAAAAAAAAAATACTACATAAACATTTTAATTTTCAATTTATCAAAACTCACAGAGAAAATAATCACAAAATAAACTGAATGAGAAATAAATGCAGTCCCTGACACTAATAGGCACTAAAATAGTACCTGACCCTTCATTTTCTTTCAAACCACTTAAATAGCATGAGAAGAGGAAATCTTCTAGCGAAATACAAGTTGCCATTAAATAAAAACAATCTTGCCTCACATTTTCTAATCTACAGGAACAAAATTAATAACCTTGTTTATATCACCCAGGCTAATATTTTCACGGGAAATAGGTCCCCAGATGGTTAATGATATCTTCCGCTAACTCTCAGACATTCCCACTGAACAAAGGCTCTGAAGTGTGTGAAGTCCGTGTTTACAGCTGCAGCAGCTCATAAGAATCTGTCGTTTTTCAGTCACTAGAGGCTTCAGTCAGTTGCACATAACAGCTCTATAGAACAGCAATGATGTCGCTAGCAATTTAGATGCAGCATAAACTTAAAATAAAAGGATGCTATATCTGTCCAAAACAATTTGATCCTGCCTCCAGCTTTCTTTATAACAATTGTTTGCAACTTGTGAACTCAAGTAATGAGCTGAACCTTGCTGCATGGTAATGTACAATAGCTAAATAAAGCAACTTGTAATGACCCATTAAAAACTTTTAACATGTTTATAAAGTCATAATTTTTGAAATCAAGAAAATATATTCAGGCATGATTCTCTTCCATCAGATAAGGGGAAAAATACAGGTAAACTGACAATTACATTTCTTTTTAGAATTGAAATGCTAAAGGTGACCCTAAAAATATCTCTTTTTGCACCTTTGAAGTCCTCATATCGAAGTTTGTATAGAAATGTAGAATACTTTCTGGGGTTTGTATCCAAGTATTAGGCAAACATCTTTTTCTTTTGATATAAATAACAAAAGTGGTTCCCAAATCATTTCTGCCTCGAGTCTAATAATATCTCCACTGATGGAAGATTTAAAATACATAAATGTAACTGGATACCTTGTTTTGCCATGACTACCTGCCTCCTGTCTCTCTTGTGATGTTAACCCTAAACTGAAGTTCCACGGCTGAGCTACTAAGGAAAATGATGAAATCCCCCTTGGGTCTAGAAGAGCGATTCACGGCTGTCTCCTTACAGTGAACGTAGGATCTGGATCGGACAGAGACGAGGTCAGTTTTTCACAGAGTGTGGTCCAGTTTTCACAGTTCAGGACATCAGATGGTGGAGCTGAGCATAGTGTTTGCAAAGCTTCATATCTCACCTACAGAGTTTAAAAGAACAATGTTATTTGTTGTTCGAATCTTAGATGGTCTTTTAATAAATAACCCAGAGCCAGATATCAGGGTGAAAGCTGAAAGATGAGAGAAGCAGAATAGCTAGCCACTAGTTCTTACCTCTTTGAAACCCTCAGCCAAAAGAGAGTAAGTTCTCCTCACGCCTTATATACCTTTCTCTGTCCTGCCATATTACTTCCTGGGATTTAAGACATGTGTGCTTCCCAAGCAAAGGCATGAAATCTCAAGTGCCAGGATTAAAGGTGTGTGCCACCACTGCCTGCCCTCTATGTCTAAAATAGTGGCTGCCTTTGTCCTCTGATCCTCAGGCAAGTTTATTAGGGTACACCACATATCACCACAGTTATTAATGCTAAAAGAACTTCCATTCTCCAAGATACTATTTAACAAACTACTAAGAGGAAGAACCAGAGAAACTATGTTTTAATGACTCGCTTTTGAGAATCAGATGCTCTTTCATAAAGTAACTCTTAGGAACACTTTTGTGTAAACTAAGTGCTAGGTAGAGAAAGCAAGAATGGCCTGTCTTTTGTAACGAAATCTGTAACAGTACACGTGTACTGTGACTATATCACAGCTAAGAGAAATGGATGGAGGCTGCACTGGAACCACCAAGCAACATTTTCCAGGAGCCTCATCCTGGGCATCCCCACACTGTAAGCCTCCCACTAGAGCTGCTAGAGAGTGCCTGATTTACTTTCAGCACACCGCCCACACAGCTACTGGAAAAGGCATTCCCAGTCCTGCCTCTGTGAACAGCTCCCAGGGAACAATCTGATCAAGTGTTTTCATTTTGCTGCTGGACCATATTTTCTGGCCTTGTAGCCACTGAAGGAGAAAAACTAACTCAGCGGTGAAATGCAAAATTGAATTTCTACCTTCCCCCAGATAGCCTACTTCCTAATCATTATAGAATCCAATCAGAATTCACCCCAAACACAGACTCAAGGGACAAAAGTGGAGAAGGCTCCACCTTATAGAGCAAAGCTTCATTTGCACTCTTATAACTGCTAAAAAGGCAACATAACAAGGCCAAGCTTCTATTCAAAGTCTGGTCACTCGATATAAATCAAAGCCAGGGAGCGACATTGAGGCAGCAGAGACCTACATCACAGACTCAGCTGTTTCAGATAAAGGGGGAAATGCAGGGTGCTCCATGGGGTCCCATCGAGGAAAACTGCTGAGCACACCTGTGGGACAGGCATTAGGGAGGTTAGAAAGAGGGTTTGAAAACTCAGGGGCTTCCAATATTAAGTAATTTCTCCTTTTCAGGTAACTTCTAGAATAAAATCCTATAAAGAATTTACTACTTGAAATTTACCCAGAAGAAAAGTCTCTAAGCAAGAATATATTTACAAGTAATCCATTTAAATTGAAGACAAAATTTGTAATATATAAAAGTAGTTTAGTCTCGTATCCGGTTTCATTTAGCATTTTTTACTAACAATCAAGAAAAAAAAAAGCAGAATGCAAAATGCCAAAAGAAAAATAAAGTGATCTCTGATTTCTTAGATTTCAATAGGATAAATCAGAACTATTCATTTAAACAGAACCATTTCTGGAAAGTAATTCATTTGAAAAATTGATACTAAATGACATACCAAAGATACACCCAAAAGTCTGAGGTTTAAAAAAACCTTCAGCCAGGATCCCTCCCCAGCTGACCTGCCTCACGCAGCCCAACCAGGAATGGACCAACAAATGCCAGTCCACTTTAATTAGAAGAACAGCTCTTTGGAGTGAACAATACGGACACCCACGGCTGCACAAGATACAGAGAACACGTGACAGCTGAGAGATCGGCCCTAAACAAAGCATCTGCACCATCTCCGTAAGGCTCGGGGATCACCACAGAGGAGGCAAAAGAAAGCCAGAAGATGAGGAAAAGGGCCGTGAAATAGCATCTTCTAAGCAAGACACAGCCATGATCATCGTGACCTCTGCAAGACCAGGCATCCCCACAGTCAGCTACGGAGGAACTGTGAGAGGAACGCCGGGGACCCTATAACTTACTGAATTGCTGCCAACTAACAGACTCCAGCAGAAGGCAAGGCAGAGTACCCTGTCTTGTGCCCACTAGGGAGCCCACAGGGTGCAGTAGACAGGTCCAAATCCATGCCCACAGTCAAAGGGAAATGAAACAAAATAAGAGGCCATGAATATGGGAAAAGAGATTTAGTGGGGAGGGACTATCAGAGTTGAGAGGGAGATAACAGAGGGTAGAGTAAGTAATGAAAGTACATTAAACACGTGTGTGACATTGCCAAAAAACAAAATTTATTAATAAAAAGTTTTTAAAAATAAACTTTAAAAACGAAATTCAATTCTGTAACAAAAACTCTTGGTACTGTTCTCATGCAAACTGATTTATTAGCCTAACATGCTACATATATTTACTCACACACACAAAAATTGTTTTTCGAATTGACACAAATAAATGTGAAAGATTTTTGGGAGAGGCTGATGAATTGGAGTGAGAGTAACCAGTAGATGCTCCATACACAGGTGCAACTGTCTAAAAAGAAACTCAATTTTTTAAAAATCTGTTTTTATACTTTCCGTAAGAAAAATATGACCAATGTTATTTAAGTGAAGCAGCAAAGAAGACACATTAGGACCACTGGAGAAATTCTGAAAATATAATTAAGACCAGCAATTTTAAAAGAAAGCTTTACTTCCTTACAATATACAAAGGCTATCATTTTCCTTGGCTATTAAGGCCAATTACTCCTGATTTTCTATTTCCATATGCAGTTGCTCTCCAGCTCTTGCAAAACATGTATTTCCAAAATAATTTATCTGTACTGGTTGTGTTCATTTGAATGAGAATGGCCCCCATGGGCTCATGTACTTGAATTCTTGGTGCTCAATTGTTGGAACTCTTTAGGAAGGATTAGGATGTATGCTGGAGAGGTATGTCACCGAGGGCAGGCTCTGAGATTTCAAAAGACTCCTGTGATTCACAGTGTGCTCTCTCTCGCGCTCTCTCTCTCTCTCTCTCTCTCTCTCTCTCTCTCTCTCTCTCTCTCTCTCTCTCTCTCTTCCTCTCTCTCTCTCCTTTGTGGCTGTAGATTGAGATAAGAGGACAGCTGTTTCTTCACTCCGCCATTATGAACTGAAACCATAAGTCAAATTAAATGTTTCCTTTCCTAAGCTGCCTTGGTTCTGTGTTTTATCACAGCAATAGGAAAGTAACTCCACTTGTCTTCCATTCTCACTGTATGCTTTTTGGACCTTACAAAGAACTATTTTAAATCTGAGTTACAGTCTATGAATTTTTATTCTAGGGTAAATTTCTGTTTTCATCTATTCTTGTACACTGCTGTATTTTTAAAAGTTCAGTTCGCCTTTTATCCTCTTGCTTTGATAAAATTTGTTTCTCTCAGTCAACAACATAAAAAACAAACTCCCTTACTGGATTTTATATGGTGCTTGTCCTAGAAAACAGTGCACCCAAACCTCCCTTTCTTTCCTTCACTAACATAGCTCTAAAAATGAAGCCATATCAAATTCCCTTTAATAAACAATGTGTAAGCTTACTTTTTCCATGAAATAATGTAAAATATGCAATTAGAAATATTTAGAAATAAATGCTTACTGTGGTATCACTTTTAAAAATTCTATTGTAGTTTCTAATTCAAAGTGACCCTCTAATAAAACAAGACATCAATAAATAACAGCTTCTAAAAATCTCTCAAAATACGAACAGATATAATTTAATACAATTGCTTCTTCAAAATTCTTTTTCCTTGTTTAAATGTTTTCCATTATTTATTTATTTATTTATTTATTTATTTAGTGTGTGAGAGTGGATGTGGAGGGGTGTGGGAGCATGTGTGAAGGTCAGAGGACTTGCAGGAATCAGTTTTCTCCTTCCACCAGGTGGGTCCGGGGATTGAACTCGGATCATCCGGGTTGGTGGCAAGCGCTTCACTTGCTGATCCATCCCCAAACTTTTTTCTAATAAACTGTTACAGTTTCATGCATAATAGTTGGTGAGATGTTTGTCCAACACAAAATATAAGCTGCAAGGAAAAAGTTGGTGAGATCTATTGTACAACCCAATGCGTATGTATCGTACATTCTAATCCTAAAAATTTGTCAGGGAAGAATGTAAGCCACTCAATCAAAAATTTTAAAAAGACTAAGTATGGGCAGTAATACACATGTTTACTATCTGAATTTATTCACTATCCAGTCTGTATATTTTCAAGACATTGCACATGATAGTATTCCATATTATCTGTTAAAATAACCTTAAGTAGATGCTCATGTTTTCTAAAAACGAAGCAAGCACTGAGATTTCATAACAATAAAATACTGAAAGGGGATAGCTACAGAGACAACCACACATAGCTTTATCCCTTCCAAACTGAAGCTAGGGAAAACAGATGGTGTATGTATATTCCTCAAACCAAAAAGTCTCTAAAGAAATTCTTCGTGGGGGGATGTGAGGGCCTAAGTTCACAGCCCCTGGAATCGCATAAAAAGCCAGGCACTGTTGTGTATATCTGTAATTCTAACACTGGGGATAGAAGGGCAGCCATGGAGGAAACCAGAAGTTCACAGGCCAGCCAGTTCAGACAATCAGTGAGCACCAGGTTCAGTAAAAGATCCTGTTGCAAAATAAATCAATGGATAAATAAGGTGGTAAGCAGTAGAGGAAGGCAAGTGATGTGGACCTCTGGATTTCATGTACCCATCACATGAAACCATGTGTACCTGTGGACACACAGGAAGAAAAGTAAAGAAGAAATGAAGTAAGTGAGTGAGTGAGTGAGTGAGTGTGCACAATGTGAGTGTCTGCTTCAGACAGAAAAGCTAATCATGGTTACCAACCCAAGACTGCTTATAATTATAAAGACCTAGCACCTAAAAAACCAACAACAAACAAAAAATACCACCACCACCACCACCATAACCACCACCATAACCACCACCAACAACAACAACAACAAACCAGCCAGCTACTACTGACTGCAGTCTAGACTCGTGCATGGTATCTCACTGAACAAAACAGCTATCCTTTGAACTTACCTCTTTAGGTTGCCCAGGATCCAACTGATCTAAAATCAGCTGTAGTTTTCCTTGACAGAATTTGTAACTCTGTAATAGAATAGATAGAACATATAGTTATTTAGCAGACTTCCGGAAGAGCCACCATAAACCATGGCTAACACAACTGCAGGCATGCTATGCACTCTGAACAAGAGACAGGTGATCAATCTATTTCTACCAGGAGAAACTTGTAACTTTTGTTTCCCATGGCTTTGTAGTCAGACCTGAAATTTCTCAACAGAACACCGCACCTTCCTGTACATGATACTGTTTGCTGAGCCACGATAATGTACAGAACATTGAAAGCCTCAAAAGAGATTAAAAAAAATACACATTGTGCACCCAGAACAGTGATATGAATCAAACAAAACTACCAAACAGCAAACAATAAAAAACAGGAACAGCACAGCCGCACCTCTGTTCACCCTCCCGTGTCACAGTCCCACCTCTGCTCACCCTCCCGTGTCACAGTCCCACCTCTGTTCACCCTTCCATGTCACAGTCCCACCTCTGCTCACCCTCTGTGTCACAGCCGCACCTCTGCTCACCCTTCTGTGTTACCCTCTTCCCCAGACTTTCCATAGCCTGTGTATTGGTGAAAAAATTCCTGAAATAAAACCCTCCATCTAGAAAAAGGTGTGCAGTACACTCTTGGGCTCCCCCAGAGCTCTGCACAATTGCCCCCTTGCCACTCTGACCTCAGCTCATCCAGCTTCTTGAGGAAGCATTCCCTGGTATCACAAGGGCAATCTGTCTGCACCTTCACCACCCCCTACACTACGGCTCTGTGACAGCACGGCATTACTGCTGACAGTTGAAAAACTGCCTCCACCAAACTGGCCTACAGGCATGTCTGTAGGGCATTTTCTTGACCAAAGACTGCTGTAGGAGAGCTCAGCTAAGCGAGCCAGGAAGAGCAAGGCAGGAAGCAGCTTTTCTCCGTGGTCCCTGCCTCTGCTTCTGCTTGAGCTCCTACCCTGACTTTGCACAATGATAGACTACAACAGGGACATGTCAGCCAAATAGACCTTTTCCCTTCTAAATTGCTTTTAGTCAAGAAAGCAAACAAGGATCAACAGTGTCAAGGATTCAGGAGAGAAGCTGTATTCAGAGTTCTAAATCCTAGCTCCCTCCTCTGGCCATGTTGTCCTCAACTCCCATTGCCCATCCTCGGTCCCGACATCTCCCCACAGCAGCACTGCATCTCTGGGCTGAATGCTTTGCTTCATCGTTATTCAAATTGTCAAATAAATTTGACATTTCTGTTGTCTATATAAGAAAATAGGGCCAGGCGGCGGCGGTGGCACACGCCTTTAATCCCAGCACTGGGGAGGCAGAGGCAGGTAGATCTCTGTGAGTTCAAGGCCAGCTTGGTCTACGGAGGAGATCCAGGACAGGCACCATAACTACACAGAGAAACCCTGTCTTGAAAAATCAAAAAAAAAAAAAAAAAAAAAAAAGAAAATACGAAGTAACTGCTTTTCACCTACAACAGCCTATTTAAGAAGAAATCTGGAAAGATAATTCACTGATCCCCATTCTTATCTGCAATACAGTAGCAAGTTCCATAACAGCTGTGACAAATGGTAAGTGAGCAATTACTTGAACATTCTGTTACAGTTGATGAGACAAGCAGTATTATGCTAAGTAGCAGTCAATTAAAGAGATAATCCTTAGTTCTTAACAGAATTCATCTTGTAAGTGGTCGCTGTAACAAAGACTTATGTGCAATATTCCAGACACTGAAATCTCTTATATTTTACAAAGCTGTCATAGCCAACCAACACAGTGCTTCCTCAACTTCCCTCTTCCTTTTTCACCACTACTCCCTTGCAGGGGAGCGGGGGAGGATGGCCTCCACAGGCTCATGTATTTGAATACTTGGTCTCCAGTTGGTGGAACTGTTTGGGAAGGGTTAGTGGGTGTGGCCTTGTTGGAGGAGGTGTGTCACTGGGGGAGGGTGCTGAGGTTTCAAACGCCCAAATCACTCCCAGTTAGCTCTCTCTGCCTTGTGCTTGTATATCAAAACGAGCTCTTAGCTACTGCTCCAGGGCCATGACTGCCTGCCAGCTACCATGCTTCCAGCCTTGATGACTGTGATCACCAAATTAAATTATTTCTTTTATATGCTGTGTTTGTCTTCTCACAGCAATAGATAAGTAACCAAGACGCCAAATTTTAAAGATCTTTCATTTTGTGCTTCTTCAGAAAAAGTTCCCTAGCCCAGGCAACACTTAACTGAACTCACTGGTTAGCCAAGACTGGCCTTTTGAACTCCTGATCTTCCTACATCCACTTCCAAAGTACAGGGACCACAGGCATGTGCCACCACCTAGGATTCAGCCCCATCTTCTTTGACTTCCTGCGATCATTCATCATAGCTAATTAACCATCCTTCCTGCTGTGACATTTACCCAGCCTGAAGTCCCTATGGGCAAAATGGCACACAACTGTCACTTCAGCAATGCTGGACTAATGCAGCAGGCTGAGGAGTTCAAGGCCAGGTACGTGGCAAAATTCTGTCCAGAAATTTTAAAGTTAATGAATTAATTAAAAGGTAGCAACAAAAACACAACACCAAAGTCCCTAATACCTCCTCTGATAAATCATCCTGCCCCTACTGACACGGAAAACATGTGCCACCTCAAGTGTCCCCTACTTGCTATCTACAGCTACACATCACAGGTGATTCACACTACATTAGCTCCAACACAAACTCTTCTACCATGAGAAGCCGGCATGAATTGCTGCCTGTCATACTAGTAGCATCTACTCTGAAAAAACACTAACCTTACCTTGTCTCCACATCTGACTCTCCTCCCAAGCACCGAGTTCAAGACACCACCATCTCCCCAGCCATCTGAGCTAAACACCATAGCTACAACTTCAGTTCCGATACTATTCACACCAGCTTTTAGACTCTGCCCATAGAGTTTATGGATCCTACTTCTGCAATAATTCTTACCCCACTCTGTTCCTCTTTCCCACTACCAATCTACCTCAGTCCAATTCTTACTGCTTCTTTTAACAAGTGACAGCCTTCTGACTTCTCTCCTGACAAGCATGCCCTGCTAATGCTCTCACACTTACAACTAACTGCACGGAAGCCCTCCCGGGGCCACTTCTCTAATAAAACCTTGAAATGGTTTCCCTTCACTGTGAAAGCATGAGCCAGCTTGGCCACTGAGTGTTCTTTGTCTTGGATATTTACTCAACATTCCAATTTTACAGCCAGGATCTACAAGCAATGATTCAAGTATAACCTTTGCCTTCCCCTCACAAGCCGATCCTCATCAACCATTCCAAACTACTCCCCCACAACCTTCTTCTAACGTTTCATACTGAGTGTCAATAGAGTCTCATATATACCACATGCTCTGTTGATTCACAGTTTTTGTCCGTTCCCATCCTGAAATACATTTCTCTGCAGTTCTTTGAGATAAGCCATGAAGGCTCTATGATCCATTTCTACCTTACAGTTCTCTTATGTAGGTGCCTCCTTAATCTCCACAAGGAAATATGCATATGATTAATATTTGCATTTTTGCAGTGGCTTAAGCACCGCAGTATACACAGTAGTTGCAGAATACATGTCTCTTTTTTAAGCACATTCTATATATTATCCTGAGAATCACTGTTTTTTCAGTCTTGTTTCTCATTTTTGTACTAAGCAAGTATTTTTATTAATTAATTTATTAATTTATTTTACATCCTGACCACAGTTTCACCTCCCTCCTCTCCTCCCAGTCCCACTCCCTCCCCACACTCCTCTATGCCCCTCCAAATCTACTGCTTCTCCATTTCTGTGCAGAAAAGGGCAAGCCTCCCGTGGATATCAAGTTGCAGTCAGACTAAGCACCTCCCCTTGTATTAAAGCTAGGCAAGGCGACCCAGTGTGAGAAACAGGGTCCCAAAAGTCAGCAAAAGAGTCAGAGACAGGCCCTGCTCCCACGTTAGGAGATTCACAAGAAGACCAAGCTACACAACTATAACATATATGCAGAGGGCCTACATCAGTCCCATGCAGGCTCCCTGGTTGCCAATTCTGACTCAGTGAGCCCCTATAAGCCCAGGTTAGTTGATTCTGTGAGGTTTCTTGTGATGTCCTTGACCACTCTGGCTTCCTCCCTCTCTTCAGCAGGATTCCCCGAGCTCATCCTAATGTTTGGCTGAGGTTCTCTGTCTCTGTTTCCATCAGTTGCTGGATGAAGCCTCTTAATGACTGGTCTAGCCTAAGACCCATGCCACAAAAGTGAGCCCACCCCGACACTCCCTGGAGCACCAGGACCCACAGGCTGGATGACCCAAAGACCTAGGATAGAACCAAATATGATTGGAGAAAAAAATAATGTCAATGTAATGATGCCAATGATACTCTGCTATATTCATGGATTGGTGTCTAGCCCAATATACATCTCTTAAATGAGAGTCCACACCCAAACAATTAATTCTACTCTATTTGTCCCTTTCAATTCTACTCTTTGTCTTTTATTCCCACTTTACAAGGTGTATTAGAAAAATGTAACCTTGGGCTAGAGGTGGAGGTCACTTTCCTATCATGTGCAAGGCTCTGGATTTAGTCTCTAACACTGCATGTGCAAGTACACATGAGTGTGCACACACACAAGCACATACACACATACACAAAAGCATACAAGGACAGAAGAAAGAAAAGGTGTAATATAGTCTCAATCTGTTTTCAACTCTATAAAATTCCTTTGTCTTCCTAAACACAGCCATGTTGCTCCTGAAAAATGCTTTTACACATTATACAACTCTTCATTATACCATTCAGCCTACTGCCTGAATTAAAGCTGACCTGCACTATATTAAAGTCCATTTTTTATATTATTGGTCAGCATTGGATAAACATAAATAGTGACAGCAACTAACTAGAACATACTTAACTAGATCATGTGACGTGTCTACTACAGTACCTAAGTGCTGGATTTTCAGTGGTTCAGATGAAAACTCCTGAGGGTGTTAAGTAGTGCCTGTGGCTTAATCTGCAAAGCACCACATGGATCTGTTGTTGGTAACAGATGTGA